AACTAGCTGGGTCATGAAACGTCTGCAAGAAAACAGCCAGGCTCAGAGAGCACCAAGGACCCCACAGCCCTCCCTCCCTTTCCTTCTTCCCTTCCCTTTATTCTCCATGCTCTTCCTTCTCCTCCTCTCCACTAACCCCACTCCCTTCCAGCACTGATGAGGTTAACTAGCTGGGTCATGAAACGTCTGCAAGAAAACAGCCAGGCTCAGAGAGCACCAAGGACCCCACAGCCCTCCTCTTCCTCCTCCCCCTCCTCTTCTCCTTCTCCTCCTCCTCCTCTCCACTAACCCCACTCCCTTCCAGCACTGATGAGGTTAACTAGCTGGGTCATGAAACGTCTGCAAGAAAACAGCCAGGCTCAGAGAGCACCAAGGACCCCACAGCCCTCCTCTTCCTCCTCCCCCTCCTCTTCTCCTTCTCCTCCTCCTCCTCTCCACTAACCCCACTCCCTTCCAGCACTGATGAGGTTAACTACCTGGGTCATGAAACGTCTGCAAGGAAACAACCAGGCTCAGAGAGCACCAAGGACCCCACAGCCCGCCCTCCCTCCCCTTTATTCCTTCTCCTTTCTCTTCCTTCTCCTCCTCTCCACCAACCTCCTCCCTCCTAGCACTGATGAGGTTACCTAGCTGGGTCATGAGACGCTTGCAAGGACCCCACCGTCCTCCTCCTGCCCCTCCTCCCTGGAAATCTCTGCTTGGTCTTCAACTCTGCCGAAGGGACCTGCAGCTTTCAGCAGCCGCTGGGAGGGCCCCTGTGGCCCTCCTGGACGAGCCCGCCCCCCGCCTTAGCCTGACCGTCCCCTCATCCCCAGTACCTTTCTGCTCAAAGACGGGGGCAGTGGCCAGCGGCACGGACCTCATGTCAAAAGGCTTTTCGGAAGGCTCCAGCGTATACTGGTGCAAGGCTTTCTCCATGCCGGGAATGGAGACGGTGAGACCTGCTGAGGACAAGAAAAGCGGCTTTTCCTCCCAGATTCTTGAGCCCATCACATGTGGCAGGATGAGCCCAGCGACTGGTTACGCTTCCAACATCTGGCAGACTTCTCTCTCTACCTTTGCGCCAATCTTGCCGGTGCCAAAATGCCAGCTTATAAAACCTTTTATACAAGTTTTCTTTCTTTTTTAAAAAATAAACAACAAAGGTTTTTCTTTTAATTTTTTGTTACATATTTTAACTCCTTTTATAAACAAAGCGTTGTTCGTTTCCCCCCCCCCTTTGCATAGTTCACTTTGCATCGTATTTCCATTCCCCATTTCAGCTGTCTTTATTTCCTTTCCACGTTTTCCAGCTTAACTTCAATTTCTTCTTAGTGTATAAAACAACGTCGTTGCAGGGGGTTGGACTAGAAGACCTCCAAGGTCCCTTCCGGTCCCTCTGTTATCCTGACCCCTACCATTAAAGATGTAGGCCGCATTGAGAGTCAGCTGTCTCTGCTGCAGGACGTTCAGATAGAAAGTGGCCCGGTCTCGGACTTCATCATCACTGTCCATCACACACCTGCGAGGAGGAGGAGGGGGAAGGAGGAGGAGGAGGAGGAGGAGGAGGAGGAAGCAAAAGAAGAAACGTGAGACCAACACTGCTCAGAAGCCTCTTGGTGGACAAAAACAACCAGCCTTAAAATACAACTTATAGCAGTTAGACTTAGACTTATATACCGCTTCATAGGGCTTTCAGCCCTCTCTAAGCGGTTTACAGAGTCAGCATATCGCCCCCCCAGTCTGGGTCCTCATTTCACC